CTTTTGCCAGCGAGTTTACCGAATACGAGATTGCCAGCATGTCCCGCGACGGTGCTGATGGGGAACTGGTTGATCTCGGAGTACTTGACGATGACCGGTTCGGAGACAATTTCGGCCAGCTTGCCCAGTCCAGAACCACAGATGATGCCAATTTGTGGTGTCAGTGACACCTTCGACTTGATGTAATCTGCAGCAGCTTTGGCATCTTCGTAGGAGCCCATTGTATTACGGCTGTGAGTGTTGCACAACTGTCTCTCTCCTGCATCAACTTGTACCTTTTATATGGCCCCACTCATTGCACACTACGACTTAGCTACTTGGGTCAGACCTTGAAATGACGTCATAAATTGCAATTTTCCAAAGGCAAAAGGATTATAAATGTGAAATATTATAATCACACAAGTTGTGTTTAAATGCTTCAAAGCATTGCACGATTTTTAAAGGCTCGTATTGTATGAAGCCTGTTGTGAGTCATCCATCAAAGTGAAATTCTGCCTACTTTTCCTCTTTTTTAATACAAATTTACAGCGTCTAGCTCTAAGTGGAATGCGCATTTTTACCGAAAAGGAGGAGTCTTTCGTGCAATTTCAAATAAGGTAGATCATCCAACGCAAGTAGCTGCTGGTTGATCTATCTTTTAGTTAATAATGATAGTCGAATAAAATAATTTGTGGGTGTTTTTATTACTTGCATATTCCATGGGACATATTTAATGGACCTATGCAATTCACCTACTTGTTTTACCCTACATATTTTACAAGCCTTTTCACTATTAAATGTGTATTATGTAATATGTGTTACTTCTAGCCATGTTTGCTGAAAAGAAATGCGTGATTTATTTGTTTACAAATCATGATCCAAAAAAAACACGGTACCCGTAAATCAATGCCACAAAATACTTGGTACTGATTTTCTGTTAGTAGACGTGTACTTTTCGCGATTTCCATCATGTTATCTTGTTGAGGCTAATGGGGAATTGGCCAATGGATACGACCGCTTGAACACACGCATTATCAAGCAGAAATGTACGTCCATGATTCAGTGCGTACAGTAACCTTTATCTTATGCTAAGCTGCCCTTTTTTTCTTATAAAAAACATTTCTTATAAGCGTCGACTAAGCATGTTGGGTGTTATTCTCTATTTGTTGCCCTTGCATTTCTGCGTGTAGGTAAATTGACAGCAGTTGTAGAACACCAATGACTAGAACTGAACTAAGTGATTCTGATAATAATCTAGTCGGAGGTGCTAGCACTTTCAAAATGATCGTTTTTTCTCCTCAATGGCCAAATTGGTGTTGCAACTTTCAGTAAGGGTTAATGTGAGCGAAGCAGCTCACATCACACAGTTTAGATTCTCTAACCGATGGCTGACTGAATGACTTGGGACGATTGGTGGCTATTGAATTCTAGCACATGCTAAGCGGACGGATATGTCCTGGGTTATCTTCAAACAATCCATTCAGTAACCACTCCACATGATCTATGGCCTCGTCACATCTCGACACAACGTTGATATACCAGAAACACTTCTTTATTCTCCTCTTCTTCCTTCCTCTCTTCTCCATCCCCTCTCTTCAAAAGCAATCGGGACTGGTGATACAATGGAAAGATTGTTCTTTCTACATTCTTTTAAGGTCATACTAAACATGGCCTCATGGAGCATGCCACATAACGCACTCTAGAAAGGCGAGGAGATGATGACTGAAATTATAGCATGAACACAATTGGTACAAGACAGTAAATTTCACGATCCCATGCAAAATAGTTTAGACATTAAAGAATATTAAGTGAGACAGGAACGGAGGCGACAGGAGCTGGGTCCTTCTTATTATCTAGCTACAAGAAGGGCAAATAAAGTGGAACTTAAAGTGTTACCTAGTTAAGAAAAGCTTTTAAATTGTGGCACATTAAAGAGGCTTGTACAGTGACTTAGCCGCCTGACCTTATTTGGTCGCCTTGTGTAGCTCCCATGCATCGCGTGGTGCCAAAAGTCTCACACCTTCGGTATCCGCATGTTGTCACTACCAACATTCAGGTCGAGTTCATGACCCAGTACCAGTGACGCAACCAACAACTGTGTGTTAGGCGTCGTACATGGATTCTACCACTTTAAAGTCTTTCTGATTAAGCGCACATTTGGCTTGCTTTTTCTCACCTTTGTGGTTGGGTCATGCCATAGATTTGAGGTGACCTCAGCGATCTCTCGGATGGACTGTGAACTCGTCGCCGTTACTGGATCTGTGGTAGAAGGTGTTATCGGATAAAATATCCATAGAAATGTAGGCACTTAGGGCGTTAATTCGCGAGAAATGAGGGTTTTACCTCAGATTTTGGCTTTTAAGAGACTAAATAATCAAAACATGACTCGGTAATGATGACCTGTCTCACATACCACACTTGATCTTATCCTCTTAGCAGATGGGAACTGGAAGAGCCCCTAATAGAATGACTTCAGTAGGCAAGAAATTGTCCGGCTAGAGACATGTTTTAGAGTTTGTTCAATTTATCTACTTTAAGGTCTACATTTCCATCCATCCATCCATCCATCCATCCATCCATCCATCCATCCATCCATCCATCCATCCATCCATCCATCCATCCATCCATCCATCCATCCAT